CGAGCTTTGAGTCGGGCCTGTCCTCCTACAAGGGGATTTTGGACGGAGAATAAAATTACCCCAGCGCGACCCTACCTAGAAGTTGGAGCCCCTAGGGAAAGCAGCATTAGTTGCTATGCTAAGCCATGCTATGCTGCGCTATGCTGTGCTATGTCACATGTGCGTGCTCTCGTTTTCCCATGCTGCGGAACGACTGCGGACTCCCACGCGGGCATGGGCAGAGGCCGTGCCTGCGCCTGGGCGCATGCCCGAGCCGATGCAGGCACCGATGCCCCCCCAATGCCGGTGTGCCCTGCTCCGCGCACGAGGCAACACTACGTGCTAAAGCTGCCTTCGCCGCTGCACTCTCCCCTGGCCTGCACTTCTCACACAAGAGCACAAGGGCTTGCACGGTCTCTCGGCGGACTCGCGCTTCCTGTGGTCATCGGTGACGAAAACACGTCCGCCGAGAAATCCTCGTGCAACGCAAGGGCCCATGATCGACTGGATGTCCCTTTGATCACTGACGGCTGCCGAGAGGCAAGGCCTTGCCGAGCGGTACTTGCCTGCCTTGAGGCTCGCTCCTACGGCGGCCACCTTGGGGATAGACAGCGGGAACGGCCGGTGCTCCAGAAAGCCTGGGGGCGCCCACAAGTGCGGAATCCGCGAGGCCAAGCACTCCCCCGAGGTCGTCGCGTACACCGACCCGGCGAAGCTCGACACAGCGAGCAAGCGCGCCCGCTCCTCCCGCCAATCCAGCATGGACCCGCGGGAATGTCGGTGCCTGCTGGGTGCGTCGTGGCGCCGACCTGGTCATGCCCTGCGGACTGGGGCGCCCTGGCCGCCAGCAGGCGCTGACGCCGACCAGGCCAAAGCCTCGCCGACGCCTGGGCGGGAAAGCACACAGGGGAGATCCCCTCCTCTCGCGCTCCCGGACTGGGCCCCTATGGGAGCGGCCGCCAACAACACCCCACGATCCCGTCGCAAGCGGGTGGCGGCAAGCGGAGCCTTGTCCAACCGTGGTCGGCGGATGCGCCTCATGGGGAAATCCGCGCACGCCAGGCCCCGCCGTCTGGACGTTCGAGCCGGCAGACGCCCCATGATGATGACGAGATGCGCCGATATCCCCCTGTGGCCCGTCGGGCTGGGGACGCACATGAACGCGGCGCTGCGCCCGCCAAGCAAAGAGGCCAGGGGCCGGCGAGGTGCGCCGAGCATCCCCCTACGACAGACAGGCCGGGGATGCGCGTGCCGAGATGCGCCGATGCCCACATATGGCTAGTTTGGCTGGGAACGCGCGTTCCGAGACGCGCCGATGTTCACATGGCCAGTCTGGCCCAGAACGCGCGTGCCGAGATGCGCCGCTGTCCCCCTATGGCCGGGCTGGCCGGCGACGCGCGTGCCGAGACGCGCCGATGTCCCCCTATGGCCGGTCTGGCCGGGGACGCGCGTGCCGAGATACGCCGATGTCCCCCCACGGCTGGTCTGGCCGGGGACGCACGTGCCGAGACGCGCCGATCTCCCCCGATGGCCAGACTGGCCAGGGACGCGCGTGCCGGGATGCGCCGATGCCCCTCCATGGCTGGTCAGGCCAGGGATGCGCCGTGGAGGTCAAAGCAGGCATGCTATGACGAGACGCGCATGAACGCGGCGCTGCGCCCGCCAAGCAAGGGGGCCAGCAGCCGGCGAGGTGCGCCGATTATCCCCATCCGGCAAAGTGGCCAGGGTGCGCCGATGTCCCCCTGGCTGATCTTGCCGGGGACGCGCGTGCCAAAATGCGCCGTGCCAAAATGCGGCCGGTCAGGCCGCAGAAGTGTCCGACAGGACCTGTCGACATCCCACTATGGCCAGTCACGCCGCCAGGGTTCCGCGCGCAGCTGAGCCGCCCAGCAGCTCCACGGACAGCGCGGCGAACTCCAGGCCGCCTCCCTTGCAGCAGGCTGGCCCGCCGAAAACGGCGGCTTCGCGACCCCTGCGGTGGTCCCTGACACCGCGTGGATCGTTCAACTTTGAACGAGCCCCCGGGCCAGGGCGGGAGAGCACGCAGGGGGGATCCCCTCCTATCGCACTCCCCGCCCGAGCCCCGATGGGAGCGGCCGCCAACGAAGCGGCGACCTCGCCCAGCAACTCCACGGACAGCGCCACTGCTCTGCGCATACCCGCACCGCGGGCTCGGACGCAGGGCCGCCCAGAACGCACGCCACCACCGAGGCCGCCGCAGCCGCGGGACCGCCGCTGGCGGACCAGCTCATCGCCCCAGATGCTACGGCGGAGCCTAGGCAGGGAGAAAACAACTTGACTGACCGAGAGCGCGCCGGCGAGCACGAGAGCGAAGCTCGAGACCAAAATGGCCACGGGCACGGGAGCGCCATGTGACTCTGTGCATCCGCTCTGCTCCTGCACCCCTCTATGCTCTGCTATGCTATGTTGCGCTATGCTATGCTATGTTATGTTATGTTATGATATGATATGTTGTGCTATGCTGCGCTGTGCTGTGCTGTGCTGTGCTGTGCTGCGCTAC